TTGCTTACTGAGAGTCTATCAGACCTTAACCTATCCCTCATGGGTTTCATCCCTGGTCGACAGAAGTTACGCCAGTGGCAAGCGTGATGACAGCAGCAGCGGCTGGGCGCCAGTGATCTTCTCTTCTGCAATCCCATGGCAGACTGATCACCAGGCCACGTGCTGACAAATACCACAGCTAATGAGATCCAGTCGGCCGGATTCGGGATAAAGAAAGCCAGCTGTGGGTGGCCTGCATGGTTTGTTGCCGAGGCGACAGTTCGGGTTTGAGTGGGTCCACAGCTCAGTGGTATCAGTATTTGTGGGGTTTCTCCCGCAGTTGGTTCTTCAGTTTTGTGCCCCTTTCCTGCGAGGCCCTTGACGGTCTGTCACACTGACTTTTGATGGCAGCCTTTTGTCTCAATCCTCTGCTGTGCTTCTATCTGAATTCCCCCCAGACCACAACAGTTCTTCCCTGAAAGTCTGAGCTGGAGCGACTCTCACAGGAACGGCTTCTGAGGAACCACAGAGCAGCTTCCCATACGACCGGGCTGACATTTCGTATCGTGAAGCGTACAGGAAATAAGAACGTTTCTTCCCAGGCTGCTCGTTCAGAACTGGAACTGATTTAACAGCTTAACTGAGGCCTTTAAAGATTGGCAGTCTTCACTTGTGGGTCAGGGCTTGATCTCAGACGGGTCTGGGACTGTGCCAGTGAATCACACGTCGCGGATCTACTCCAGGCCAGACGGCCATTCCAGAACCTGTCCCCAGCTGGGCATCCTTCTCGCCGGACCCGCTGCCAAAGAGCCTGAGGCGCGACAGTCTGCCAGGGCCTGGAAGCGAGTCGAAGCTCATCTATGGCACAAGGAAGTCTCTGCTGGTGAAATGCGGTTCCGGAGTTTGCTGCAGTTCAAGTGCTGCTCTAGCAGAGACACATGAAACATCGGGAGCCACCAGAGACTGCTGCTTTCCAACAGATTATACAAAGAACGTGAAGATGGCGCCCATGGTGAATTCTGTCCTAAAAAGAGCTTAAGGAAGCCAATGACATAATTCATTCAAAATGGCTCCCATGGCCAGCAAGGATAAGGCCTCTGACTTTAATATGACGATAGTAGCATCTATTTAACTACCTAGCTGACTGAGAAGCAACAAGGAGAATTAGGAATTGGTGTCACCTTCAGGCAAACGCCTGTTCTCTGATTTGGCTGCACAGGAGGTGAGGAAGCATTACATTCAACCCCCGCTGCGGGTCCATGGTACACATTTGCTGCCATGTTGGGTGAACTACAATGAACAGCAGGTCCAACTGGTCTTGATATGGAGATCCTGAATAATAACCAGTCACCCAACGTATCTGCGTCTTGGGCTTTAAGCGGTTCCTACTACATCGAGACAACACTGAGAAGAACCGTTTCACGCGGGTGAGTAAGATCCCCACCGTCAGACAGGCGGCTTTTTGATTCACTCATTAAAGTCTCACGAGGATCACGGCACACAGATTAAGCATGCATAATACATCACAATGGGGCTCTGGTGTGCACAGCGTTAACTGTTAATTAAACAATGTGGCACTTTAATATTTTGCAGAGCACAGTGCTGAACCATATGGCCAGACATGCCTAGGTTCACTTTCTGAAGTGATTTATACGCTGGTTTTTATGACCTGTGTTTACTAGGTGGATTTTGTTTTTTAATCAAAGTGTGGACGTTATGGAGTCGTTCCGCCCACTACGTTTTGTGTTGTCACTCAGGATGACCTTCATTAAAACATCTTGCCTTTTCTGTCGATGTTTAGGGCTGGTCTTTGTTTATCTGAAGGTCCTGATTCATTAGCGTCATTCAACAAAGGTGCCTATCTCCTGTCAAACGAATCTTAAACAATCTAGTTTCCTGAAACAGCTTGTGGGCAGTCAACAATTGTAGTAGAGATAAAACTGCTAACATTCGGCAAAGAGGTGTTTAAAGGTGTATCAGAAATCCTCTGAAATTTTTAATGATCAGATGCATTTTCCAGAGATAGGTATGTATTCACTGTTTACTTGGAAAAGTCAGTTTGATTTAATTTATTTGATAACACTTTACTTGAAGCAGTCTACATAAGGGTGACATGTAACCATCATAAGAATGACATGACACACGTCATGCACATTAATGACACATTATTGATGTTTATGACTGTTGTCATAATGTGTCATTCGGTTTTTGGAACTGAATGACACATAATGACAACAGTCATAAACATCGATAATGTGTCATTAATGTGCATGACGTGTGTCATGTCATTCTTATGATGGTTACATGTCACCCTTATGTAAACTGCTTCAAGTAAAGTGTTGCCATTTATTTGATGTAGCCAAATAATGCAGACTGAGCTCTGCATTTGCAGAGTGATGTGCCTTGACGAGGAACTGTGAGGTCACGCCTCTCTGTGAAAAGCTGCCTGTAGCACATTTGGGTCACCTTGGGGGAACAAAATATGACGTAACAAGCATGGTGACCAGGTGAAGCCCAGATAGTGGGCGGAGTGAGCAGAAGGTGTGGGTGTATTTAGTGAACCCCAGTCATGCAGGGATTTTACTGGGCGGGGGTGAGGTGGCCAAAAGGTTTCACACTCAAACGTCTCCCACTGGCTTTAACCTGCAATCGCTCTGGCTGAACAGCCAGCTGAGGAAATAGATACAATTATGAAACTGCAAGACCTGTATGGGCCCTAGATGTGTTAAGGCATTAAAATGATGAAAAACAGGGTTGGGATTTTGGAAGAAGTGCTCCACATGGGGGCAGGTGTCTCCTGAAAATACAATGTGAGGTGACTTTTCTGACACTTTCACCAAAATTATTCATGAGGGTCATCATAGTAACTCAGAGATAAACATGGAGCTCCAGACCATTGGCTCACATCTCTGCATGAACATGAACAAGCTACACATCATTTTTCTATTGGAACTATTGTGAAAAACCATCCACTCAGTATTGCCAGAAGGTGCTGGCACACCTGTCAGGTCGCCGCATGCCGGGGGGTAGGGGAGGGCGCCAGCCCCATCCACCACTTCTTATCTTCCTCATATTCGATACACCTACCTTAAGGAATCACCTATTACACAGAGAATCAATGACAAACCCAGTCCAGACCCCACCCACAGCCAAGGCCCGCCCAGGCACTAAACTCCCCCCATTCCCACCCACCTCCAAAACCGCAGCCTTCAGGTTTCCGGAGCCACATAACTTGCACTCTGCAATTTTATTGCAGGGCGTGAAAATAACCAGCCATGGAGTTAAAGGTCTTTGTTACCTTTGATTTTTGAAGCTAATCTGTATTATTAGGTCTTTTACAACATTTAGCTTTGGCACTGGTAAAACTGCACTTTTACCAGACAGAGTAGCGTTTCCCCACTAAAAAAATCAGTCTGAATTCCTTTGTAACTGGACCCTAGACCACAGAATCATTTACATTTTTGCGGATTCAGACTGACAGATTCCCCAGGAAAACTGGAGTGAGCATATGGGTTTAGGGGAGGGGGCTGCTGGGAATCCATTAATATTCAGTCCATTTCAGTGTGTTTTTATTTAGTGCCCTTATGTCCTGGCTACAGAGAGCTTAATGAAGGTTTTTCAACCATGGAAATTAATGTTACAAAAAACCAGCGTCTGTGTGTGCGCCAGAGGAATACGTCACTTTGCCACACCCCATCGATCCTCTCCGGTGTCAGTACACCCAGGCTCCATGCCAGGGTCACAGACTGAGCAGGGTGGGGGCTGGACTACCGTAACACACTTTTTATCCATATAAATGAAATAGAAAATAAAATGATTAAGCGATGAACATATTAACTGAGCAGCTGGGAAACCCAAACCTGGTTAAGACTCATCACCTGCCTCCGCTCGAAGGGTCAATGGCACACACACACACACACACACACACACACACACACAGGTCTGCAATTATATCTTTGTGATATGGAGGGCTCTCCATTCACTCCTGCCCAGCCCTAAGCATAAGCATAAGTAACGAAACAAAATATGAGACCTTTATCATTTTTAGTTTTTTGATTGCATTCACAGATCTTTTTGGGGATCTGAAAATGGTCCCCACGACGTCAAAATAACAGGTTTTTATTACATTGTGGGGGACATTTGATCCCCACAATGTAACATAAACATAATCCACACGCACGCACACACACACGCACGCACACACAGTCTCACTGTCGCATTCTCATACTGCTGAGCTCTCCATGTTACCTCCGTTATTTGTTCTTCCGTCCGAATGACCATAAAGCCGCGCCCTTGTAGTTTCATGGCTAAATCTTCATCCTGTACATTTATATTTATTCATCAGGGTTCGGTGTGGTTATAGTCACCGAAGCCAAGCTGTGAACAAAATCGTTGATCTTTTACCAAACACATAATCATCATCAGTATAGTAATGGTAATTCTCCCACGAGGGTGTGTCCATTACAACTGAATGTGTAATCTATCTGGTTACAACCCCCCCAACATAATTCACACAATACGGTCTCTGCACAGTTATACCCTGAATGGCAACGTTTTACACTTGAAGCAGTGGAGCCATTGAAAAACGAGCGATTGGCTCTCAGTACAGGTATAATGGGATAATTACACTGGTTAATCCTCCCTGGAGTGAAAAGCACAGGACACACCGGACTTCGGCGGTTTTTCCTTTAGAAAGAAGTCGGGGGCTCACGAGGTCCCAGTGTTTTACGGGGTTCTTTTAAGTATTTATTATATTTGTCCACGATAACTGTAATAACAACCAGCAGGGAAATTAACACTGAAGAATTAATGTTTTGTAAATCCACACGAACTTTTTAACACTTATTTCCTCTGGAGATGCAAACCGTTCAAAATAAATCAACAGCAGAGTATTTGAAGGCCGTCTAGCCGCATCTATCTCGCTAAAACTAATTTACTCCGTAATTGCTAAGTTAATTGAATTCACCCCTTCGTTTTGTCTGGAATTGAGACGCGGGTAAAGCGGTTCAGGCCGGGGCACGTTTCCCAAAAGCATAGCTGCTAACAATTACTTAGTTGGGACCAAATGCCTGACGGGGGTTTTAAGGAAATGCAACCGCGGGCGGCCTTCGAGGAGCGCATGTGGAGATCGGTTCCGCGCGACTTTCAGACCGCCACATGTGGCCCGCAATGCGCCGGAAGTGTGCACGGAGTAGGACGTTTTCATATTCACACGGTCTGACCTTTTTAAAAAAGCATTAGGTAAACTGGCATGGAAGCAAAAATCTGAGAATTTTTAGAAACTTAATTTGATCAGGAGTTGAGTATCCCAGTGTCCGAAGGGGGGCGCTGTTCTTGTAATTATTCTCCGTGCAGATCCGTTCCTTCGCCGACTTTCTGTGTGAATGCGGGTAAGGGGAGGGCCAGCTCAACTCGGCTCGGCTTTCCGTCGGGTATATAAACGAGGACATCCCACTCTGGGCGAAACAGTTGCGTTGTGAGGGGCAGGTGGACGCTGCTGCTGTCTTGGGGAAAGATCGGACTGCCTTTGTGTGCGTGAACCTCTGCGCTTCACAGGACTACTTGAAAGCAATAAAAACACATCAATGAAGGAAAGAAGACAGAGCCAGAAGCTGCCGCTTAAATCCGGAATGGATCCCAACCAGAGTGTGAAATGCAAGATAGTGGTAGTGGGGGACAGCCAGTGCGGCAAGACGGCGCTGCTGCACGTCTTCGCGAAGGACTGCTTCCCGGAGGTGCGTCCCCATAGCGTCCGCTTATTACGCTACAGACCTGTTGGCTCGTGACGAACGCGAAATCAGGTGTTAAAAAGTTTCGGCGTTTCCGCGCGCGGCGGGGCTCCGCTGATTTACTAGTGTCGGCTGCTTTACTGCCCTGTGTTTGCAAAGTGCTCTTTGCCTCACTTGTACGTCGCATTGGACATAAACATCTGCTAAATTAAAATGAATGTTGTAACTGGGCTTGGATGTAGTCGGTATGAACTGTTCACTAGCAGTTAAATGCAGATATAAAGAACATATAATTGCGCTAAGCCAATTTGGTCCAAATTCAACAGTTCACTGTACTTCTATCATTATATAATGTATATCATAGGTGAAGAAAGCACCAGAGTTTTGTTGTACACGTATAATGACAAAGATATTTTATTCCGTTGAGATCCGTGCAGTAAGTCGGCGGGTTGTGATGGGAGCGTATTCGGTTGGCTTGCTTTAGTTTAATGGTGACTTTATTTGCTTTTCTGTCTATCCAGAACTACGTTCCCACTGTGTTTGAAAATTACACGGCCAGCTTTGAGATCGATACGCAAAGGATTGAACTCAGTCTGTGGGACACCTCAGGTAAGGACTGGAGCGTCGCTGCGAAGTCCGGGCTTTGCGATTTCGGTTTGGTTCAACTTCATAAAGTAATAAACTCTACAAGAGTTCCCTGGGCTCCTTTAAAATGTGTAGCACTTCGGTTATTGCTTTGTTCCTCTGTTGTCTTTCTGTGCCGAACTCGAATGCGTCCTCCGGTGATTTATTCCACATATTTTTGCGTCCTTTTGTGAATTATGAAAAACCCTTAATGTGTTTTGACAGGTACATTGTTGTATGTGAGGTTGGGATTAGTGACGATGTGGTTTTAGGTGCCTAGAAACTCAGGCGAAATCTCTCCCTGCTTCTTGCTTGTTCTCTAACCTCAACTCGCACTGTACCGGGGGCTGCCGCTCTTTTACTGTGATATTTACCCAGCTCCTCTAGTCCCTGGTGACCCCTACAGTCGCTTAAGGTGTATTTTTCATAACAGACCCTGAGCATTTCTCAGCAGGGCAAATATTTATCAGTGCTTGCTTAAACCATGACTGATGCCAGAATTTGCGGGGGACAGCATGAAATCGGGAGTTTTGACTGGGCACCGTGAGAAATGCTTTACTCAGAAGATGGTATGAGTGACTCCTGACCGCTGGAATGTGAGGAATGGGCTGACCGTGCGATGGACCAATAGCTTTGCTCCCTTCCTGAGCCCCGCCCCCTTCCCACATGGATACTCGGGGCTGTTCCTGTGCGCCACTGGTGATGAGTCTGGCACTTCCAGTGTCCCTTACATGAAGCCCCTTGACCAAATGCTCTGTGGCGAATCACCCTTTGATCTACAAATGAGGATGTTGGCTTTCCATTAATTTTGGAAAACTTCTTTATCTTCTAGCTTGCCTGGTGCTAATCTATGAGGCTTCCAATGACGTTTACGAAAGGGGTGGTTTGTCTGGGTGTCATGCAGTTAAAACTCTGCATCCGGCTCTGTGATTGGTTAAAAGCTGTGTCAGACCCCCCCCCCCCCCCCCCCCCCCCCCCCCCCCCCGGGGGGGGGGGGGAGGGGGGGGCTGTCTAATCCTTGAGTGAGCTTCCCAGACACGACACTGGCACTGTGCACTGGGAGGAGTGGAAATCCCATTGAGGTTCCTTTCGTTTTGGGATTCCGGTTGATGAGTGACTGATCCATTTTGAATTCTGACAATCCGCTGGGGGGCTTCCTGAGAATTCCCACTGACATTGGAGCTACTTGTCACCGGCATGGGATGTTGGATAGAAGGTGGTTGCTGCTGGGGCCCCCATGTCCGAATCCGAAACGCAGCTTGGCCCTAAGCCAGGAACAGCTGCTGTACGTGAGCGGCATCCCCCCCCCCCCCAGCTTTTGTTTTTGGGCCACAAAAGCCACGGACTCGTCCGGCATTTGTTGACAGTCAAGATGGTCTGGAAGCGGTGAAGCGGGTGGGCAGTCTGGGAGGCGAGTCGTTCAGGGGGGTGCTTTGTGATTCCCCCCCCCCCTCCCCAAAGACCTGGCCCAGAGAGGCTCTATATTCAAAGGAGCTTCTTCTAGGGTCATTGTTGGGGTGTGGAATGTTCCCCGCTGCTCTGAAAAGCAAATGTGGCTGTGTCGCTGGATCCATTCACGTCGGGAATGAATCTTAACGTTATCTTTTGTCACAGGATAGCTCTGCGTTATGCGTGGAATGTCGGTACTTCTCCTAAAGGTCAGGGAGATCTGGAGGAAGGTCATGGGGATCTTCTCCAGCAGATCTGCAGCTCCCCATGATCTCTATCCCCGGTAGTGAAGCACCAACAGACTGAATCCCTTCAGACCCGCTGGTGAAGTTGCTCTGCAGGCACTTGTGGCTGAAATCCTTTGTCTTCTCCCCCAGCCCTTCGATCCTGGGTAATTAATACCGCACTGCCTCTGGCTGAGCAGCTGTTGGATTGACACCCCCCATCTCCCTGAGGCGACCTTGATCAATATCCCCTCCCCACGGCCACACACTTCTCGTTTACGGAGGAGCTGGGTGGGGGATCTCCTTGGGGCAGTGACAAAGCCCTTTGTCCCCTGATTAGCTGTGAGGGACTTAATGAGCCTGCTGACACCTCCGCCCCCTCCCTCGGGTCAGTTAGGCATTGGTTGGTTGTGATTGGCTGTGATCTGTGTGTTGTAAGGGGGGGGGGCTCGGAGGTTGCATGCGATTTGTGTTTTGATGCTGCTATAGAATGTGTAGAGCACAGTTGGCCCTGTTATGTGCTGACTGTGTTGTCTGCTGTTTGGGAAGCTCTGAGCTCCTATATCCTGGGTCTCATTCTACGTTCATTCTCTCCCTTTGCTCACCCGCGGGTTTTATGCGCCACACCATCGATCCCGACCCCTCTGCCGCTCGCGTCACCCGTTTCCGAGTCGGATAGATCGCGGCAGCATTCCCAACATTCCTTCGCTGGATGGCTCGACCTTCTTTGGGAGCCTTTGTGTTGAGACTCTTTCGGAATTTGGGGACGTGTCATTAAGATTTTCTGCTCTGTTGGTGACTGAACATCTGGACCTGCGAGAGCCTGAAGCCGCGTCTCGAGTGTCCCAGAACGTTGGGGATTGAACTCTGGGTTGCAGCCACGGTGATATGAGCTTATGGAGAGCTTGGAGACGCTTTGGGTTGGATGGCTGCTGTTTTTGTGATTAGAGTGTGATTTAGTGACCAAGTGCATTTTGTTAGTCTGGGATTGGGGCCAGTGGGTGATAGGAGGTGACCATGCCCTTGGAGGTGTTGATGTTGTTCAGCCCTGAATAGTGTAGAAATTGGCACCTGAACGGGTCATTTTTTGCAGGCCCGTTGGCGGCTGTGGATCGATGGTCCGCTGAGGATCTCGGCCCCTGAAAAATGACTGTCCTCTATGGGGGGGGCACACGGTGTCCCCCGGGCTGTAACGCCGCTTCTGTATCAGGTGTTGGCCTGCGGGTTGCCTGTGCTCATCACTCACACTGGGGAAGGGGTGGGGCTCTCCTGGCCTGTCGGGGGGGGGGGGGGGGGGGGGGCAGCAAAACGTGTATCAGCAGGTGAGGCTGCGCTCAGACGCTGGTGTGCCAGCTGGGAGAGCCACTGGGATGTTTGTGATGGGGGGTCAAAAGCCGTCATTTCTGGGGCCTTTCTGTGTAAATGTCCTGCTCGAATAGCAGCCTCTTTTCCCAGTTTCTGGTCACGCTGGTGAGCCCAGCTGATGGGGGGGGGGGGGGGGCTGTCTGTCACAGCTGCGGAGAAGGGGGTGTCTGCTGACCTGAGTGATGGCATCAGCTGGGCTGAATTTACCACAGCACTGGGAGGGGTGGGCCAGGGGGGGTCGCGGGGTGTTAATTGTCAACCACAGTGTCGCGTTCACCGCAGCAGATGCTTGGAGTAGTCATAAGCGTAATTGTTCTTCTGGCCTTGGTTCCAGGCTGCCGGCACTGCAGATATAATGGTCATGCACGTCGTGTGTGTGATTTAACCCAGACAGAATGAGCGCCATAATGTTCCTAAGCCTCTTAGCACCTGAGACAATGGTGGGTTTAAATACATACTGACATAGTTTGAAATGACTGACTTGTTTAATAAGGTTTGTGATCATTTTCATTGGTCTTGGGAGTACTTTACTGTTCTGCCCTTTCAAAAAGGAAAGCTTTATTTTGACAGTACTCAGTCTGTAGGCATGCACAGGTTTTTTCTTTTTACGCGTATTTTCTGACTCTGCCCGAGACATGAGAAGCCAGTCTCTCTTTTCCCACACCCTGCTGTGGGCAGACTGTGTAACTTCCAGTAGGCCTGAGAACTGCAATATTTGATTTCCACCAGCCATCTTGTTGTGTTGGACTGCCCCCCCCCCCTCCCCCCACACACACAGACCCACGGCTCAGTCTTTGTTTCGGCTATGTTGATCTTCACAGCGGGGATCTCATTCTGCGTCTCCAGTGGTTTCCTCAGAATCGACAGCTGGCTCGGTCTGTCTTCATTCTTGGGGCTATGTGATATGCATGGCATCCTCCACGCCACTAGGGGTGTTCTTAGTGCCCTGGTTCAGAATTGCCCTTACCTCAAAGGGCCTCACTCTTGTGATTCTGCACTGGGTCATGAGGGCAGCCCAGTTCTTCAGCCGAGTTACTTCTGTGCCCGGACTGGCATTGGCTCGTAGCACGGCCCTGTCACCGCTGGCTGGATGTGGGGCTCCCTTTGTCACTCAGCACAATGACCCATTTGCTTCCCGAGACTTCCAGGGTGCCCCTTAAGGGGGCCATGTTCTCTGATGGCCCAGAGCGTCCCGAGGGAGTGTAAGGTGGGCGGTTTGGTCTGAGGCATGAGTTTCCTGCGAGGTTTAGTCATCTGTCCTCCTGGGGGGATGTTTTGGGGGAGCCCTTACTTTCGGTAAGATGGGAAAGTCCCTCAAGGTGGTCTACTAGTAGATGAGTGCATTTTGGATCCATTTTGACCCAGCTGTTAGTCCTACATGTTGACCGGCCTTTAATCTGTGCCGTCCAGGGTCTCCGTACTACGACAACGTGCGGCCACTGTCGTACCCGGACTCCGATGCCGTGCTCATCTGCTTCGACATCAGCCGACCGGAGACGCTGGACAGCGTGCTGAAGAAGGTGAGTGGCCAACCAGCCTGCTGCCCCCCCCCAGAGTAGCAGAGTAAATCCTCACCGCTTCCTTATTGTCATCAGACAGGAAGCGATTTCTCCGGTTTGTTGACATGACGTCCTGCTCGCTTGACCCATGTTGCTCAAAGCTTTTTCTTTCCGCGCGTGGGTCAAGTGACCACTGGCAAGGCCAGAGTAGCCGAGCGCCGAGCTCCTGCCAGCTCATATGATTACTCACAATGGATCCGGTCTCAGCCCTCTCTTGTGGAGAGGAAATGCAAGCAGTAACAGAGAATTCATACTCAAACACACAAAGACGCCCTGTCATTTTGGTGCCGAGCTGAACTTTGACCTATGATACTGTGACCTCTTAATTGCTGTGGTCACATGACGCTCCGAGCGATTCAGCCAGGCATTTAGTGGGAATGACTAGTGTCTAGTCTGTATTGGCACTTTTTGTTTGGAACCACGTGAGGGCAGCGTGTGGTGAGGGGGTCGGAGATGACGCACCCTCCATTACAGCATGTGGCCCCTCTCCTCCTCTGCAGTGGAAGGGCGAGATACAGGAGTTCTGTCCCAACACCAAGATGCTGCTGGTGGGCTGCAAGTCTGACTTGCGCACGGACCTGACCACGCTGGTGGAGCTGTCCAATCACAGGCAGACGCCAGTGTCATATGATCAGGTAAGCGCCATGGTGTCCAATTTAATCATTCAGAGAGAGAACATGCGTGTGGCCCTGTTGCAAAAATGTCTTAAATTGCGGGGCTGTACACTCTGTGCTCCCCTCAGTGTTTTTACTGCTGTACATATTTTTCTTGCTATCTTGGTCTTACTGGCAGGCTTCAGGAGAGGATGGGGTCTCCTCTGGTCTCCGCCGCTAAACGCTCAGTGTGTGACTGTCATTTTTTTTCCGGTTCTGATCTCCATGGCAATTCCGTCCTGGAAGCTGAACTCAAACAAGCTCCCAGCCCATTAAGGGTTTTCTCTCACGTCAGCATTTTTTTAAACTGAGCCCCACGCCTGGGAAAGACCCCCCTCCCCCCCGGTTGTGTCAGCTTTTTTTTTTTTTTTAAACAGTGCTTTTGCTGAAATGGCACTCAAATGTGTTTTAGTTTTTTAGCAAACAGTCACTTTATTTATACAGCCAGATGGGTTCTCACCCCCCACTGTGATGATCTGTGTATCTCTGGGGCCTTGATCCTACAACCATCTGAGGTTTATTCTCTTAATCCACAAGCTGCCTGCCATCAGATCATGTTTGCAAAGTGCTAGGGCTGTTCAGGTGGGGGCTGTAATTCGGTGTCACACTTTTTTTGGGGGGGGCTCACTCAGTCACTTTGCCCCCCCCCCCCCACCCATGTTTTAAAAGCTAAATTGTCAGCGAGTGGAGGTCGAGGATCATAGCTAGTTAGCTGGTTAGCATCTCCTAAATGTGTGGTTTGAGTGGTGGTAAAGGCTGCCATTGGGTGTGGCATCCTGTGGTCTGACCTGGTCCTCTGCCATGTGATCAAAGCCCCCATGTTGTAGGGTGACACTCGCCCACCTTGTCTTGCAGGGTTCCAACATGGCCAAGCAGCTGTCGGCCCCCTACATCGAGTGCTCAGCACTGCAGTCGGAGAACAGCGTGCGGGACATCTTCCACGTGGCCACCCTGGCGTGCGTCAACAAGAGCGGCAAGCACGCCAAGCGCAGCAAGACACCGCGCGCCTCCAAGCGTATTTCCCACATGGCGGGCCGGCCGGAGCTCTCCACAGTCACGTCCGACCTGCGCCAGGACAAGGCAAAGAGCTGTGCGGTCATGTGACTGTCTGGCCTCCACCCCCTATTGTGGTTTTGTGAGCACCGGGTGCGGGCGATGAAGATGGATCGAGGTGCAGGGCGTCCTGCCCGCTGATCCCCTGGATGTGGGGGAGTGAGAGACGAGCCTTGGGCTCCTGCACTTCAAAGCCCAGGCTGGGATTGATGTGCCCCTCCCCCCCCCCAAACCCCACCCCACACGAGCCCCTCAGGGGGACACAGACCAGAGGCGGCTGGCCCCGGCACCTTCCTGCACAAGTTCCGATGGCCTCTAGTTTCTGAATAACATATTTTGAGAACCCCAAAGGGACGACCGCTCGGCCCATCCTGCTTGCCTCACTTTATCCAGCCTGGAAGTGATGTCACTTCCTGAGGAAGTGGTGAGGGTTTGGTGGAGCCTCTGCGGGAAATGAGGAAGCTATCCAATCGTGGCCCGTTCTCCTTGCACAGGGTGCTAAGCTTTGCTTCTGGGAAAGGACAGGTTTCTCCTAAAATGAAGAACAGCCAATCACTGTGGACCCAAATAAATGCCCCCTCCCCTCCCTATGCCGTGGGTCTGAAAGGTGAAAACAGGAACTCCTTTGTTTTGCAGATCTGTCGTAACAAAGATCAGCTGTCATGCTAGTTTTTCATATTGTCTTGTAAAAACCTCACACCCTGTTTTCCAGCCAAAGAGTAAAATCTGTGGCAGCGGTGACACTGCAAGTTGATCCTAACTGGACCTTCAAAATGCATGTGGTGGGGCGGGCAAGAGCGTGGCCGCCCTGCGGGTCCTCACAGGCTGACACCCTAATCGGGGCGCCTGTGGTCTGACTGCTGTCTTTGCTCTGAAGTGCCCAACTATGCAAAGCTCACTTTGATCCTGGGGGGGCACCCAAATAGGAAAGAAACCAATGAACTGTTTTTGTATGTTTTTCCCCTATAATTGTTTTTCTACACAATATTTGAGTTTTTTGTGTTTTGGTCAAACTTAAGTTCTGGGTACTGAACAGTTCGGACTGGAAATTCAACCCATTGTGGTGTGGTTTTGTTAGCATTTGCTAAGAGCTGCATCAGTGCAACCCCAGCCATGAGATGGATCTGGTGCAGGGTTTAGCACAGTATTATTGGTTCATGTTCTCTCTATTTAAATGTAAAAATAAATTAAGTTAAATTGTTCCATGTAGAGCAACCCATTTTTTTGGAATGTTGTCTATCATTGTTCATGCAGTATTTATTGAAGTATATATTTTCCTTCCAAAATAAATATTTCAGCGCAAAGTGCCGTTTGTAAATGATTTTGTGATTGAAGCCCTGTTTTGTTTGTCCAACTGTACCACACCAACAAGCGTTAAAATCACATATAAAGTGGTAGGTTCTCTGCCTCCTGATTGGTCAGTGTCTGGAGGTGTGGCTGGTCAGCTCATATTGCCTGAATTGCACCCTGTGAATAAGAGCTGTTCTCCAATCGCAGACATGGAGCATGATGTCAGTCTTCTGAGGTGTCTGTACACACAGTTGGGTGTATTTGCAGTGGCCGTGTTTGTATGCTGTATATTTGTATGCTGCATCGGCAAACTTATTCTGCGGAGGAGTCTTTGGGACTGTAAGTGTTCCTGTGAGGCATGGTGCATCACTCCTTTGCCACAGACAGGGATGCACATACAGGATGGTGCAGTTAGTGATTGCTCATTATAGTGGTGTCGGCATGTATCCTCTTATCTTCATGTGGCACTGGGGGGCGCTCTCCCAGCCTCCCCGTTGTGACGCCTCATCCCGTGCTGTCTGTTGCCTACTGTCATGTTCAGGGGACAGTTTAACCTGTTTGGCTGCGTGAGGCTCTCTGCTGCGTCAGGCGCTGCAGAAGCACACGGTGGTAATGTCTCCTTTCGCTCTCCTCCTGCGTGCTTTGTTGGCTGAGGGCCTAGCCTGGAGTCCATTTGCTGAGCTGTGAACATTTTCCGGTTTTGTTCTTCACAGGACAAACAATCTTCTGGAAACTCCTCCTTGCGAATGACCGGGTTTATATACCGCCTAATGGATGCTCCCCAGAACTGGCCTTGAGACTCCTCTTGAGAAGCTGTATTCTTATGCTTTGTGTGGCTATGCCCGTCGCATTTTGGGGTCTGTGATTGTATCTGAGCCCCATGTTGTTCCTTGACTCTGCCTGACCCAGAATGAACTGGTGCTCGATCCTGGCTGTCGTTATCAGGGTGGTGTTTTCTCCTAAGATCCCCTTTGTTTACACAACGTGCCGAAATCGGATGCCTGCACTGGGTTCCAGTGTCTGGGGAAAGCTGCCCTCAAGGTGACCTTGCATGCCTTTGCCCTCTTCCTTTCTATCTTATCATAAACTCGGATTTCTGCCAGTGACAGTTAAGATCATTAAAGGAGTTGCTTTTGAAAAAACATTAAACCCGTTTTGTTTTCATTTTCACAAATAAAACTTTCCCCGTTAATGTACAATGTGAAACATTTTGAAATCTTGCAGCCAGGCCAACCTTGTCATTGCTGAATTTCTGTCTCATGATATGATGTCAGATACGATGGGATTTATGACAGACTGGTGGGTTTTGTGGTTCACGATCCGTAAATGAGAGATGATGTCAGCACCCAACAACTGTGCTCCTCATTCTGGACACCTTCCTTTCCGCTAATTAGGTTTTGGTTGGTGATGCAGAGGGATTCCTTAACAGCTTGACGTTAGTGGAACACGATGATCATATGACGAGAAAGCCAGACTTGGAGGGTGGAACATGTGCGGTACAATGGGAGTGCTGTTTGTCCCTTAACTTGAGTTGTCATGTCACACGGATGGTCCCTTCCTGCTGATGTCACATCCTGTTCCTGTAGCGTAGGCCTCGAGGAGTGAGGTCATTTCCTAGAGGAAGGAAGTTCTTCCTGGGCTCAGCAAGTTCCTTCCTTGCTATAAATGAATACAAATTTTAAATCTGGTATGGAGATCCTGTGATGAGAGAAGATCCTTTGGTGTCGAGATAAGTAGCTGGGATCCTGTGTCAGTGGCCATAGATCAATATTTGGTTATGAAGTGACTGATGAGTGCCCGGCTGGTAACTCTTAACTGAAATCCTTCTATGAAGATCACTTCATGACTTAACGTTGTCTTCCCAAGCACTGCTCCTTGATCGTCATTTTAAAAATTTGAGCATAAACTGCAGACCATAACCCAGTTGAATGAGGGTTTTTGTTTGATGCACCAATTTTGTTTTGCATCAACCATGTCACCTTTACACCAAGCCAAGAGCAGTTATGCTTACCAGGTGAACTATTGCTATGTGGATTTTCACCACATTCCCTTTCTATAAATAACAGACCCACACTTCGAGGGATGATGGATCCAGGCATCTATGATCGGTCTTTGCATATAAACTGCCTCTCTCTGAAACATCAGCCACGAACCCACCTCTCTGACCAATCTTCCAAGGGACTTCAAAATACACATTCCATGTGTTCTTGTTTTATTAGTATTATTTGTGCTTGTGTGCCTATCAGCTATCTTAGCCTTAGGGAACTTTGAGGAAGATTATTGATGAGAGAGAGATGAGAAAAGGTGGACAGGCGAGTAAAATTAAACATTGGCATTGGTAATAAACCTGAAATACGTATTTTAAACAGAAACAGAAAAACGGGTGGCCACCTCACTTTTATTACACTTACAAGAAACTGACTGAAGCAAAAAAAAAAAGGATAAAGCTCAGTGTGAGGTTCTGAAGTGGTACGGATTTTTCCATCCAACTTTCCGCTGTGAAGATGGCTAGAGACAAGCGGAGCTCTCTGTGGACGCTGGAGATCAAATCAGCAGCAGGCGTGAGAGGCTTCAAGGCTGCGGACCCATCTCCAAAGAGCCGGCGTCCGCCGAACTGCTGCGAACCTCTCAGGATGCAGGTGTAGCAGGACAGTGGAGCACAGGTCATGTGAGCTGCTTGTGCGGATCATGGAACAAAAGAAACACACGTGACTAATAAAGATGTAGAGGTTGACCTGCAGGGATCTTAAAAAGCAACCTTGTTCTGCACTGTCTATGGACCTCCAAACCAGAAAGGGTTATATTGGAGTCAAACAGGACCACACAGCAGTAGAAGATCAAGAAAGGGAACAGGCTGAACCTCACAGCAACTTACTTAAATAAAAAACAGGGCTTTTTCTGGGAAAACAGGGGATGCAGATCAGTTCTTTGTGCACAGATATCAAAAAGAAAATAAGGTACTCCCCCCATTCAATCCAGCATAGTGGGGGTCCAGCAATGCTGAGGGTGCTGTGTAGCTGGGTCTGGTGCGGTGGGCCCTAAATGTTTCAATGGCATCATGAAATTGACCCGGCCTAAATCCATCCGATTCCTGGGGGATCATTAATGCAATCTAGCTGCCGGGGGGGGCGGCGAGTTATGCATTGGACTGGGTATTTCAAAAGCACTTCTGCATGTATAAATATGTTAAAATGATTAAAAAGGAAGTGTTAATGTACTGAAAACAACATCAAGGTCATGCAGTGGCAAATGGGAGTTTGTGGGGTTACATGCGGTCGTTCTGCCCATTGTGTTGAAATGCTGGAAGCTGCTTGGTTTATTTAAACGAGATCCAGCAATGAGCGCTAACAGAACCAAACCTCTTCTCACTGCATTGCAGATTTCATCATAAACAGCGCCCATATGGTTATGATTGCTGCTTTCTGGGAAGAGATTTGGGGAAGATTATTTCTGCCCCTTTTCCCCACCACTTCCAAGCACAAAAACTTTGGTTTTCTTATTTTATTCTTACCAGTCAGACGTAAAATGTACATCAAAGTCGAGATCCAGAGAGACATTTCTCTTGCTGACACACAGTCTGCATTTAAAGAGCACAGTCTGAAAAGTCTGTCCTTTTTATCTTTTTGCGTGTTTTGCAGGGGATGAAAAATGCAGCAACCTTTCCAGTACAACCAAAGGTTTCTTCCACTGAAAAAATATCTGGGTCTTCTGGCAATTGGAGCTCCTTCCTGTGATGAGAGGAATGCAGGCCTGCAGGAATGCGAGAACTGAATGTTCGCCGCGGCTTGAAGCCTCTCGAATCACAGTGCGGCCTCATACCGCCGGCCCGCTTCCATTTCAAGCGCGGTGATTTAGGTGTTTTGTCAAACGATCGTAACCCACCAGCCAAATCAAAGAAAAGCAAGGAGAACATCGAGGTTCCTCCAAAAGGTCAGAATGATGCCGTTTCAGGTGCTCAGCTCTTTGGCCTCCCTGGCAGACAGAAGAAACCCCACAGCTTGATGAGCAGAATGCGCTTGTTTACTTGCTTAGTGGCCCCAGGCCTCCTGAGTGTCTATAAGGGTGGGTTAGGCTTTGGGTTATATGCTGCTGAACCTAAGGCTAGTCTCTGGCCTCGGGATTGGTGGAACAGTGTGTGTGTCACCATTAAGAGGTGTGAGCTTTGGGGTGGTGCTGCTCTGCTCTTCTCCATCCATCCTAGAGGTTCTGCCAAGGTAGGTATGGACGACATGGGCGACATCTTCCCGGGGGGGCGGTACGGGGAACCCACACAATAAAAGAAAAAAAAATGGGAATGGTGACATTTGCACAATCGGTTTTCGATTGCTCATTTGCACGTCACGTCAGTGATATCATGTCACTGTATGTGTCCTTTCACCTTGCTGGAGTGGGCGCCATGATTCTAATTTCAGAGCTAGACAGCTACCACTCAGAAGTACGAGATGGGGAGGGGCGCGGAGCTGAGCTGAGCTCAGGTCGCCCCACTGGAAGCCCGAGGTGGGGGGAGCAGGGGAATCCATTGAATAGTGCACCACTGACTTTGTACAGTACTAATGCAATTAACCAAATCAGTAACACTATGAAATGCTACTAAATACTAAATATGCTACTAAATGCAACTAAATACTAAATAAACCACAATGCATTCATAATACT